CAAACCTGCTAAGGCTTCAGAAACAGAACTGAGACCTCAGACCAGAAGTGTGTCTCCCATGGGATGGGTTTGGGACAAGAGAAGCCTCAATCCCCCCCCCCCTCTAAAATAGTCTATAAATGCTCCCTCTGAGCAGGTTGCATGAGAATTGCACCCTAGAATTGACTAACTGCAAAGCCACTATTTCTACTACTACGGCATCTACCTTTTTTTTGGGGGGGGGAGGGGGGTAGCAGATGCTCACAACCTAGCAAAGTCATAACAGGTGACGAACATCTAATGTAGAAGACAGTGTTCTGGGAACCTGAAGAGACAGTGATTCATTTCTTTCTCTATAATTTTAGAGATTTATTTCGTTAGCTCCCTTTTTTTTGTTTTTGTTTTTTTTCAATTTTATTATCAAAGTGATACATCTCAAGTAGCTTTTTTCTAAAAATGAGTTTTTAAGTTTATAAAAATGTTTAAATATGCAAGAATTGCCACCAAAAAAAAAGAAGAATGGTGAGGGTAAACGTGCCCTATCCAAGATTATTGTTGTTAGGTGACATCAAGTTGGTACCAGCTCATAGCAACCTTATGCACAACAGAATGAAACACTGCCCAGTCCTGTGCCAACCTCACAATCGTTGCTACGTTTGAGCCCACTGATGCTGCCACTTGACTAATCCATCTCGTTGGGGGTCTTCCTCTTTTTCTCTGACCCTCCACTTTACCAAACATGATATCCTTCTCCAGGGACTGGTCCCTCCTGACAATACGTCCAAAGTATGAGAGATGAAGTTTGGCCATCCTGGCTTCCAAGGAGCACTCTGGCTGCACTTCTTCCAACACAGATCTGTTGGTTCTTTTAGCAGCCCATGGCACTTTCAATATTCTCCTCCAACACCACAACACAAAGGCATCAATTCTTCTCCAGTCTTCCTTATTCACTGTCCAACTTTTGCAGGTTATTGAGAATAGTATAGCTTGCGTCAGACGCACCTTAGTCCTCAAATTGACATCTTTGCTCTTCAACACTTTAAAGAGGTCTTGTGCAGCAGATCTGCCCAACATTAAATCTTATATAGTCCTGGTATGGTGTTGTAGAAGAAACATTGGGTTGCTAACCACAAGGTCAGTGGTTCAAACCCACCAGCCACTCCTCAGAAACCCTATATAGGGTCGCTATGAGTCAGAACTGACTCTGTGGCACTTAACAACAACACATAGCTACTATAAGGAGCCCTGGTGGCACAGTGGTCGAAGTACTTACTTATTCACAGTAAAGTTGGAGATTTGAAGCCATCAGTTGCTGTGTTAGAAAAATGTGGCAGTTTACTTTTGTGACAACAACAACCTGGGACACTCTATGGGGCAGTTCTACTCTGGACTATTGAGCCACTGAATTCCAATGAACTCAAGGGCAACAGGTTTAGTTTTATAGAGTTACTATCAAGATTATGACCAAGCAATTCTATCACTGGTTATTTATTTACTAAAAAAAAAAAAAAAAAGAGAGAGCTTTCTGAATAATAACCCCATCCCAGGTATCCATTAATTGAGGAAAAAATAAAGTCACTGTGATTTCTTCAATTAGAATTGCATTGTCCATAAAAACAAAACAAAACGAAGTCCAATATCCACATGAACTTAGATAATGCCATGAACTTTAGACTGAGCCAAAGGGTGCAGGCTTAATTCTATAGAATTCGCATTTTAAATATCCAAGACCAGACAGGTTTGATCTCTGATGGTCTTCTCTGGGGATGGGGACCAGCGGGAGGAGACTTCCAGGGTGGCGAAGTATTGTGTGTCTTGTCAGATGCTAGATTGCATGGTGTGTGCATTTACCAAGACTTACTAAAGATGTGTGTATTTCCTCAAAGTAAGCTGTGTGTATTGCCTTGGTGGAAATACCTTTTAAAATACGGGAGTTACAGTTATTGAAAAAGAACTCGAAGGTGACATACTGACATGAAAATATCACATGGGTCTATTAACTAAAAGAAAATCCAGTGGATTATGGATGAGTGCAAGGTATGAACTCAGTAGTGTTTATTAGAAAGTAGAGGAGTAGGAAGGGGAGGAAGAAAAGGGGGTGAGGGAAAGAGAGGGAAAGGAAGGAGAGAAGGAAGAGGAGGGGGAGGAAGAACCTAAAAGCCCACACGCCTTATGTTTTCATGAGCTTCTTTCTATAAACACAAATGCACAGATAGGAAACACATGAAACTGGTCACTTGAGTTCTTCCCAAACTATGGAAGGGTCGTGGGGAAACTATATATTTCTTCATAAACCCAGACAATGACTCCATAGACCCAGAGGTCTGATGCAATAATTTATTATTTCTCCCAATTTGTTGTTGTTTCCGTCTGTCGAGTCGGTTCCAACTCATAACCGCCCTACGCACAACAGAAGGTCCTGCGCCATCCTCACATTCTTGTGTTTATGTCCATTGCTGCTGCTCCCATGTCAGTCCATCTAGTTGGGGGCCTTCCTCTTCTTCACTGGCCCTTCATTTTACTAAGTATGATGTCCTTCTCCAGGGACTGCTCCCTCCTGACAACATGTTCAAAGTATGAGAGACGAAGTCTGGCCATTTTGACTTCCAAAGAGCATTCTGGCTGCACTTCTTCCAAGACAGACCTGTTGGTTCTTCTGTTAGGAAATGTAATTTCCCAAATACGTTTTCTTAAAACAAAAGAAAATACACAACATGGGTCAGATCAAGGCCGTCTAACCTAGACAACAAGCATCCCCCACAGTCCCAGGGCCTCATGCATTTGTTGGTTGCAGATTCATGGGTCCTCCTGGTCATGTGATTAGAGGCCCAGATTCTGTAACCTAGTTACATCCCACCAGTGGCTCCCACTCCCCTGAGTGGTCTATGGTCCCAAGGGGGGAAGGAGGTGGGCATATGACATTCCCATTGTTTTGGTAGTTCGAAATTCAAAACATACAAAAACCAAAAAAAAAAAAAAAAGTGTGGCTATCAAGTGAATTCCAATTTATAGCAACCTCATGTGTTGAAATGGCCCCATAGAGTTTTCTTGGTGTGGCACTGTGGGATCATGCACTGGACCGCAAGGTTGGTTTGAACTGCAAGGTTGGAAGTTCAAATTCATCAGCCTCTCCTTGGAAACCGTATACAGGGTCACTATGAGTCAGAACCTACTCGATGGCACTTAACAACAGCAAAAGCAATCTTCCAAGTACCAGGCTTTTCTTCCAAAACACCACTGGAGGGGTCAGGCCACCGCCTTTAGATTATTACCTGTTACTATTGAGTCGATTCTGTCTCACAGTGAAGGACAGAGGAGAACTGCCCCATGGAGCTTCCAAGGCTGGGATTTTTATGGAAGCTCACAACCACATCTTTCTCAGAGCAGCTGGTGGGTTTGAACTGCCGACCTCATAGTCTGCAGCCCAGCGCTTAACCCACCATATCACCATAGATCCTTTGAAGACATACAAAAACCCCATTGTTATTAAGTTGATTCCAACTCAAAGTGACCCTGTATAGGGTTTCTGAGGCTGCAGATCTGTAGGAGATCTTTAAAGGAGCCAAAAGTCTCAACTTTCTCCCTTGGAGCAGCTGGTGGGTTTGAACTGCCAGCCTTGTGGTTTGCAGTCAGTGTTTATAGCCTACACCACCACCAAGGCTTCTCTTCAAGATACATTTGTTGTTGTTGTTATTAAGTGCCGTTGAGTCGGTTCTGACCCATAGTGACCCTGTATAGGGTTTCCGAGGAGCAGCTTATGAGCTTGAACCACCGATCTTGCAGTTCAAACGACCTTGTAGTCTAGTACCTTAACCTGCAGCACCACACCAGGACTCCATATGTTGTTGTTGTTAAGTACCGCGGAGTCGGTTCCAACTCCTAGTGACCTTGTATAGGGTTTCTGAGGCTTGTAAATCTTTACAGGAGCAGAATGCCTCATCTTTCTCCCACAGAACCGCTGGTACTTTTGAACTGCTGACCTTGCGGTTGGCAGCCCAACTTGTAACCACTATGCTAGGGCATAAAGTTCAAAAGGACTCCTGGTGTAGCACTGTAGGATCAGCACTGGACTTCAAACCAAAAGGTCAACGGTTCAAACCCACCAGCTTCTCCCTGGAAACCCTATAAAGGGTCACTGTGAGTCGGAACTGACTTGATGTCACTTAAATAAGTAACTAAAGTTCAAATTCTACCACTTCAGAATTATCCCTCAACATAACTACTTTAAAGGCCTGCCGGAAAATGTCTTCCACAACTCAAAAATAGAACCAGTTAGGGTCAAGTCAGTTCCAACTCAAGGCACCCCATGTGTGTCAGAGTACACCTGTGCTCCAGGGGTTTCAGTGGATGATTTTCTGGAAGTAGATCACCAGGCCTTCCTTCCAAGTTTGAGTGGACTCAAAGTTCCAAGCTTTCAGTTAGAAGTTGAACACTTCGAGTACTTCACCGCTTGTGCCACCCTTTCATTAAGATGCTAAATAATGGCTCTGGGGTGGCACTGTCAGATGAGCACTGGACTGCTGACTGTAAGGGGTTCAAATCCACCAACTACTCCTTGGAAACCCTATACAGGATCCGTTACAACTGATGTGATGGCAAAGCAGGGCTTAAAAAAAGGAAAAGCGCCAACCAGGCAGGATTTAAAACCCAAACCAAACCCACTGCTGAGGAATGGAATCCTATTTATCAGTGACTCTATACAGAGTAGAACTGCCCCATTGGGCTTCTGAGACTACCCTCTTCCTCCCGCAGAGCGCAGAGCGGCTGATGGGTTCAAACCACCGACCTTTTGGTTAGATGCATTACTTAAATGTTGCCAAATTATCTTCCAAAGAGTTTCCCCAGGCACATCCCCAGCCCACAGCAGGTGGAGCTGAGAGCGCCTGTTTTCCAGCGCCCTCGGCAAGGTGTGCCATCTTCTGTTCAGGGCAGCCTGAACGCTTCTCCAGACGGGCTCCGAGTGTGATTCCAGGAGGCAGGGAAGCGGAGAAGGGCACTCCCAGGAAAGAATCCAGCAGGCGATGGCTGGCAACCGCGTGGCGCACAGTGCGCGCGCTGGAATGGAATGCAAAGGGACCACGCGGGAGACGCGTCTCGGCAGCGCTCCCTGCACCAACCCCACCTCACCCACCCCCGCCTCAAAGGGGAAAGGGCCAGGAGCGCGAGGTGACCACACGGACAAAGAACGCGATATGACCACAGGTGCGAGCAAAGCCAGGTGACCACAGGCTCGAGGTAACCACAGGCGCGCCGCTGTGATCCAACAGGACAGCAGGCTGCCTAGCAATTCCTGAGGTCCACCCAGGTTAACACAGCACACAGACCCCAGTATTCCCGCGGTGTACCTCGCTCGCGCGCTCTCCTTCCCTCCCTGCCTCTTTTTCATTTAAAAAAAAAATCATTTTACTACATTAAAATTTTCAGCATGGATGAGGAAAATCCTTAAAAGGAAATACGAATATTTATTGTTGTTGTTGTTAAGTGCCGTCGAGTCAGTGCCGTCCCATAGGGACCCTGTACAGGGTTTTACGGGAGCAAAAAGCTTCATCTTTCTCCCAGGGAACCACTGGCAGTTTAGAACTGCTGACCTTGAGGTTAGCGGCCCAATCGATTTTTAACTTGTTGTTGTTGTTGTGATGTGCCATGGAGTCAGTTCCAACCCATAGCAACCCTGTGCAGGGTTTCCAAGGCTGTAAATCTTTACAGGAGCAGAAAGTCTCTTCTTTCACCAACAGTTCAGCTGGTAGTTTCAAACTGCTGACCTTGAAGTTCACAGCCCGATTCGTAACCTCTACGCTACAAGCCAAACCTGTTGGGGCCATTGGATTCCGAGCATCATAGTGACCCCTTGAGGACAGAGGAGAACTGCTCTGTAGAGTTTCACCCTCAGTGAGACACAGTGACTCCGACACTGGGTCCAAACATAACAATTGTGAGGAGGATGCAGGACCGGGCAGTGCTTCTTTCTGCTCTATTTGGGGTTGCTATGAGTCAGAATGGACTGGATGGTACCTCACAATAACAACAACGACAACAAAACTCTTTATGGAAGCAGACCTCCTCACCTTTCTCCCAAGGAGCAGCTGGTGGATTCAAACCGCTAACCTTTTGGCTGTCAGCCAAGAGTTTAAACCCAGTGCCGTCAGGGCTCCTTCCAGGTTCTGGAGACTAACTGACGTTGTTGGCTCGCCGCCCTTTCCTCTATCTGCAAATCATCTTCAGATCTCTTTCTGGCTCTCTTCTGTCATCACATCTCAGCACGCTGATCCTGCTAGCTCTTCTGAGGACCCAAGTGAGGACAATTAGGCCCTTATTAAATAATGAGGTTGTCTACTCCCATAAAAGGAGCTCTGGTAGTGTAGTGGTTACGAATCAGGCTGTGAACCTCAAGGTCAGCAGTTCAAAACTACCAGCTGTTCTGTGGGAGAAAGATGAGGCTTTCTGCTCCCGTAAAGATTTACAGCCTC